TATAATCCCATCTGTTAAATCAAATACACTATGTCACTGTTTTTAACTTTCATACAATGGGATTTATAAAAATAAAATTTAATAAAGTTAATCAAATACGTACAGCTGAAATGTATCTTATCTACTTGTAGATTTGTGAGTTTGACTTTAGGGAAATGTGATGTCTTCTATATTTATTTGATTCAATATACGGATTAAATATTACACTGTAACAGGTTTTAGTAGGTAGGGAAATTACAATGAATATATAACACAATAGATAATGTAATAAGTAAAATGTTTATAGACACGTTAAAACGTGAGCAGAGTTTTGTAAGGAGAATTGGATAGTAAGGTGGCGCAGTGGTATCGCACTCAGCTTACACCTCGACGACCGCGGTTCGATTCCCCGATCAAACATGAAAACGTTTGTGTTCGCCCCTCGGATATTAACGTCTAATCAACATTTCAATATCTGAATAATTTTCACTCAACATTTCCATTATTGCCATAATATAACACACGTATAATTATATCATGGAGAGTATTACGTTAGACATATCATAATACACTCGGTTGATGTTACAACTTGAACGAATAAATAGATAAATAAGTAGAATAAATTAGATAAAGATTGAAGTCTACATACATATGATCAGCAGAATACTTTGTAGGAGGGAATGTTTAATAAAAATAAATGACTCATCTAAAGACAAAGCATGATGTTTTATAAACATTTTGTAAGAATACTATCACAAACGGAATAGGCCTATGAAACAACGGCAGCATCAGACCATACTCGTCATACCTTCATCAGCTAAATACCTATCAATTTCGTGTGTTTTATATCCAATAATTCATTCTCGCCCGACTCTTTCACGCCTTCATTCATAACATGACTAGAATGACAGAAGGGCAAGTTGGCGACCTATACTGTTAGTGACACACAGCGACAACAAATTAGAGATATTTACGGTGTCGGTAGTACCTTGTGTTGTAATGAGTGGATAGTTTACCCTATAACATGACAAGTATTATTACTTAGTTTATGTTCCGCCTTCCCAGAGACTACGCGCGTGTGCAATGGTTTATCGTGGCCCCACCAGAGACGTTTGGCGAATCCTAGGTGTTCCAGTTAGTGATAGGGATGCCACGAACTGCCTCCGACATTGCATCGCCTACACATAGCATTACATACAATTGTATATTTGTTGTCCAATGCGGCGTGTTTAACATTAACAATTGACACTAACGGGGAAACATTCCAGAAAGATTTGTTCTCAGATAACATATATTGTAATTTTACAAATCAGTAAAACAGTTATATATATTTACAATTCTTTAGTGGCTACTTCTATCAATACGCAAAAACTCTTTTTTAAAATCTCCATATAAATAGCTGTAGTATATACGTTTGTTTCAACGATCTCTGACGATGATTCTCGAAATTGTATCAACATCAGCAGTTGTTTTTTCTATGTCTAAACGTTGCCTTCATAGTGCAACTGACTTCCGTTCTATTACACGAGTGTTTACGGAATATAAAAGATAACATATTGCAGGCCGTATTTGCTCCACGTTGTTATATCATAACATGTTAAATATCAGTAAGATCAAGTTATTGCCTATCATTATCAATATTTGAATTTCCGTGACCACAACCCCTAGGACTGTGAGAGTTCCGCATCCATCACGGTATAGTACATTTGCTTTGTACTGTTAGTCGTGATAAGTGTTTTGTGTCTCTCGTTAGTGGCACTATGTTAATTGTGAGAACAATTCACACCTTTTCCACTTGAAATTCCACATGAGACACATGTTATCACGACTCTGTACGGCAGTGCCTCACTCCGAATCTCACTTCACGTGTAAATCTGTTAACAACGTCATTGAAACAATAAGGAGCTAGCACCTCGTGACACGAACGCATTCCATTGCTCACGTGACTTGCTCTATCTCCCCTCCCCTTCTTAACCATCGTTATACAGCTATCAACACACGCGCACTTCTGTACCTGCCAATTGGAGAAGTATCTATACTTTGCCGCCAAATCATCCAACCTCTGGGAACCCGACACGTTCCGTGTAATTGCTAGCAAACCTTTTTGTTTCAACTACAATCGAGTTTGAGGCTTTGATCAATGCATTCTTGCTTTCTCAGTTTATATAAGTTAAGCATTACCACAAACAATAGAAGTGATGATGTAAATTGAAGCTAGATACACTACAGGAAACTCGTCTTTAGGAACATATTATGTTGCCGACATTGACGAGGGGTTTTATAATTCATTCACAAATCTCTGTGGGAACTATATATGTGATATAACAAAGTCCATTTAATCTCCTTAGATTGAACCTAGGTGTGCACCAAACACACTCTGTTTCTGTGCTAGTTAGGAGGAACGTTTGTGGTCAATATTTCAAGATTAGATGCAGTTCTAAATATTTCCTTCATGAAAATATTACTTGAATAGGATTTTTTAAAAACTTTAATGGCTATAGTAAGTATTTGCAAAATTGATTACAGGTTTACTTAGAAGGACATCGTAATTATACCAAGAGATAGGATGGAAAACCTTTGAGTAGCATAAATCTGAATACATATACAGAATAATGAAGATGGAAACTTCAGAAGAGAAATAATCCAACCATATATTCATGATAAAACATCCCGACAGAACAAACAGTTTATTTGATCCACCATTGTGTCGTACCGTTGATTACTTCAAAAGTTTTTTTCCGTCGATGTTTAATCAACTTAATTATCTTGCCCAAAATATTAGTAACGTTCAGTCTACCACACAAAACGTCTGCAAATAAAATTCAGTGTATAAAATCTCAACTGATATCTTAAATGTTTTAAGTAATCTTGATATTAAAATCAGATATTAAGAGGTAACCATAGTACTGTAAACCATGATTATTTTAAAAATCATTTCATTTTATCGCCAATATGTGCTGCCGTCTTTTGAAACAACTTTACATTAATTTCCTGAGTGTCATTAATATAATCATTACTTTGTTAGTATATTTTCATGCTGTCTATTGAATTTACCCCTGACGAACTACAATTGTACGACAGGTACATTACACACTTAATATGTAATATAAGCAAATTTAAAGTGATATAGAATCATTCAGATACTGCAATTTTGTTCTACTTTTGTTGAGTAAAATTATATGAAATCATTCACATACTGCGATTTTGTTCTACTTTTGTTAAGTCATATCATATGGAATAATTTAGATACTACGATTTTGTCCTGCTTTTGTTTAGTAAAATTATATGGAATCATTCAGATAGTGCGATTTTGTTCTGCTTTTGTTAAGTAAAATTATATGGAATCATTCAGATACTGCGATTTTGTTCTACTTTTGTGGAGTAAAATTATATGGAATCATTCAGATACTGCGATTTTGTTCTACTTTTGTGGAGTAAAATTATATGAAATCATTGAGGTACTTCGACTTTGTTCTACTTTTGTTAAGTAATGAATACCTTTTATATACTTACTTGGTTCTGTGCAGCCAAGATGAATTATTTCTTGTATCTAAATGAAGATATAAAGTATTTCCAATTAGCAAGAAACATATTACTTACAGAATTTGGTGTAACAAAGAGATCAGCTTGCTGAATTTTGCTTCTGATCCTAAACAGTTTATGGATTGTGTGTAATGTGTATAGATTGTATGGCCTGTGTCTGTTTAGGGGGTAAATTCAATAGTCTGTATTATATATATATATATTGGACACAATAGCTTACCATATATGGATGTCGGTAATACAACCTCCAGTATTCACCTAACATTACTCTTCGAATAGACATTCCATATCAAACATCCTTAGGGTTGACTATCTTTATGAATACTGAAGTAATCTGTTTACATTTACATCAAGGGGTCAATTTTACTTATCTGAATATATTACATCGCTATATGTTATATATCTGTATTTCTTACCATCAGTTGTGTAAGGAGAGAACTTAAAAAGGCTTAACCTGATGCCCAATCCTATTGACTAATGATTTCTTCAATAAAGTTGGTTGAAATTGAAATTGATGTATTGTCTGCAGCATTTATCGATTTGCATCAAAATTTTAACTGGCTAACCTGTATTTATGAAATTCGCTGTTGATTCGGATTGAGAAACCCTGCTATTAAAAGAAGTTTTTTTGACACACAACCGACGTTCTCTCGGCATCGTTTTGGCTGTTGTGAAATAACACTCTCACGATCGACTTTAGAAACAGGAAAAAAAGTCGCAGACCGTTTGCTTTTTCTCAATGAAATTACATTAAAAATACGAAAACATCATGCTCATGTTTCGAAGTAAAATAATCAAAGGTTAATGCTCCAGACTCCACCAGTGTATACCGGCGTTTAGTGGTATTGTCTGTCCCACAAAATGATCACGACAAATTAAACCGAAGATGTTGATCTGTAGATGTGACGGAGATGAAAGAGCATGTGTGTTGACCAGGATAATGTGTTAACGTTAAGATTTAGATAGAGTTGTTTAATGGAGTTATCCATTTGTCACATTATATGGACTAAACACCGCTTAATAATGGTACATAACACATGCACACTGTGACCAGTAGACCAAGAAAACCACAGTAGCGTCTTCTAGTCCGTTTTTCACCAAAATTGTATTTAGTCCAAGTACCTTAACCACATTTTATGTATGGTAGCGTGAACCATTTAACATAATTAGCTATTAGCCATGTCAAGCACTTCACTCGAAGATGATGTCTTGTGGCTTGAAAATTAATTTATCAAATACTAAATTAAAATATGGTACTATAAGATAAAACACATCGAAACCAAAATGTGGTAGAATAGTGTACATGTTGATAAGTATCTACCACCTGTTGTTGTGATGGTGGACACATTTTCTGTTATATTGAAAATTTTGATATTTTTCCAAATTGGTTTTTTATCATTAATTTTTTCCCCAAATTTGTATGTTTCAGAGCTCTGTATCAGAGTAAACAGAAACCTTGGCAAGGGAACCAGAACTGCTCTAAATCTTTCGGTATGGTAAAACGACAGGTTAAAATATGTAAACAAAACCTCGACCTCATGGGCACGGTGTCACATGCAGCTCTACTTACGAAAGATACATGCGAGTCACAGTTCAGTGACCGGAGGTGGAACTGTTCATCTATTCGGAAGTCACCTCGTCTTACACGTGACCTTGTGAGAGGTGGGTGTCCTTAGTTTCGTATTTTTAACCGTAGACTGAATGTAAATTCTTACCAACATTTGAAATACGCCATAAAGCTATTGTAAAATACAATAAGTATATATTGAAGACCAACTACATAAAACAAAAACCCAAAAAACAATGAATGTTGAAAACAACAGTTTGGTGCTGTCTTTAGGCATACACTCTATCAGCTCTCATTGAATAATATTTATTTCTTTGTACGATAAGAAGCTGGACGTGTTGTTTCTCGTTAGTTTGCCTGTTGATTAAGTTCTTGTATTGTATACCTGGTTGAAAACGTGATAATACTTAATTGGATTGACCAAAATTTACATGGCAGTCATCGTCGATGAAGCAGAGGACGGTTACTCTTCCGAAACACCGGTCCTTATTCTCCTTGTATTTTGTAAGAGGTAACTGTGTAAATCTCTCTTTTGTTCACATTTTGCCCTAGTTTTATTGAATTTGAGTTTGGATTACTATCATGTTGACATGGTGATATTATCTTATTGTTCTCAAAAGGCACAATTCACTTGTATGTTTGCTTGTAGTCTCTAACCTATCAAGATACTCAATTATAAATGTAAACGTTTTATTTCATTTGATTTAAACATATTTATTGCACCAAAATTGAGCAGGGGATTAGGCACAAGTTATTTCAACTTATGACTGTCATTTCCTTCTTTCGCCGCTTCAAGGAAATGGTCTTAACCAAACTGGGTTGTGAATATTCTTGCCTGTTAGGAGCATCATCTTTTGACCTTATCACATATTGTAATTACATTATATCCAACCAACAAGAACTAATCCGCAGTAGAATCGTCATTCAATCTCAATGTCGATAAAACAAAGGAAAAATATGAACAAAAGAAGAAATCACTCTGAGAACATTGAAAATACAATGAGAATAAGGTCTAGAAGGGTAGGCGTCATCTGCTTCTTCGAACAAAACTTATACATAAATATTGGTCGAATCAAATAAGAAAATGTCAAGTTAACAATCAAATATAAAAAATAATTATCACTCATATATGGAACCCTTTACAGACTCCAGATATTTTTAGAACTGTTGTAGCTACATGTAACTTACTTTAGAAAAAATACTATAGATAACCTTTCATTCGTTAGAAATTTTTTATATCTGACTACAAAGATAAGTATAACTTCTACGTATCGACCGAGCTACAAAAATACAAGACATATAAAACAGGGGAACAATAACACCATTGGGAAGCTGTTTAGTCAGGCTAAACGGGCGAAGATGCAGATATAAAGTGTCTCGAACGTGTATATAAGATACTGGGTGGGTACAAAGGGCAAGCCTGTTGCCAGGCTACCGATGCTTGGTGGGGCTGTGAGATGGAGGGTGATAATACTGTGAAAAAGGTGTGAAGAGCCTGGGCTTATCTCCATAAACACATTGGATACAATGGACCTCCCTGAAAGTATCCAGATCCACGACAGTTTTGTGGTAGGGGACACATGCGGCAAACTTTATATGGCCGGCAGACAAAGACCTGCCTGGAGGGGCAGCACCATACTCTATAGTAAGAATTAATCCTCCCCAAGTCATTGTCAGTTTACGGGAGGTTTACTCTATCAATGGGATGTTCGTCTACAATAAAACTATATTGACAAGATTTTGTTAACAAAGATATCGACATTAAACTGCACCATTTCGGTGTTGTATTAGATTTTATGACGTGCCACGTTTAAGATTGCTTTTCAGTCCAGCATCGCGTTACAAAGCGGAGTACAGGGTGGTGCTGTGGATCTTCGGGCTGTATTACTTCTGTATACCCCGCTCGTCGTAACCGATGTTTTATGGGCTTACATGGGTCATGTACATATAAGTTAGACCTGTTTACACAATGCGTATCTCATTGATGTGTCAGTAACTCTAGGATTTGTGAAAATATCCTTTTTGCATACTGAATTAAGAGATATGTTAAAGACCCTCGTATCAGTCCATTTACAGGGGAGATCTTACAACATCATATTATTTAGGAAACTTGTGTTAAAGGCGCTAGTGCCGCCTTTTTTATTTCTTAAGATCAGAAAATAATTCGTAAATCACGTTCTCATGTTCAGAATTTTATGTAGTCGTTGTGAAATAATACATAAAGTTTTTCAACAGACACACGTGAATGGCACAATTCAAAGCCAAGATGTGATTTAAATTTGATAATTTTGTCTATAGAACAAAATGTTTCTAAAACTTTAAGTTTTGCTTATGACCAAAATAAAGATGATGTAATTTTTTTCAGACGTAGTTGAATTGTAAGAGCAGTAAACATCCATATCTGGAAATCCTTTCTCCGACAAATATTTTGTATTCGTAACTTATGAAATGTCTTCTCTCTCTCTTGTGACATTTAACCCTTTTGAGATATTTGAAATCAATTTATTGATATAATCAAACTTATGCCAGAAAATTACATTTCAAATATTTGAAACGATTCACCTTTTTTTGCAGGTACAAGGGAGCAGGCTTACTTGTACGCTATATCTTCAGCGTCCCTCGTGCATTCTGTGGCGCGTGCGTGCAGTATAGGTGTGACGACCAAGTGCAGTTGTGGAGCGCTTCCTAACAGTCCTCCTGATGGTGAATTCAAATGGGGAGGGTGTGGTGACGATGTCAAGTTTGGACTTTATCTAAGTGAAAGTTTTACAGACGCGTCTTTGTCAAAACGTGGCAAAATAAGAACGTCCAAAAAAGCGCAGATGAATCGGCACAATAATGCAGCAGGAAGGAAGGTAGATAGATATTTCATCATTATCATATTTTGTCAACATTACCAGATATGTGTGAACAGGGCCATGAATATGTCAACAGTACCAAATATATGTCAATAGTACCAAATATATGTCAACAGTACCAGATATGTGTAAACAGTACCAAATATATGTCAACATTACCAGATATGTGTGAACAGTACCAAATATATGTCAACAGTACCAAATATATGTCAACAGTACCAAATATATGTCAACAGTACCAAATATATGTCAATAGTACCAAATATATGTCAACATTACCAGATATGTGTGAACAGTACCAAATATATGTCAACAGTACCAAATATATGTCAACAGTACCAAATATATGTCAACAGTACCAAATATATGTCAACATTACCAGATATGTGTGAACAGTACCAAATATATGTAAACAGTACCAAATATATGTCAACATATATGTCAACAGTACCTATGTCAATAGTACCAAATATATGTCAACATTACCAGATATGTGTGAACAGTACCAAATATATGTCAACAGTACCAAATATATGTCAACAGTACCAAATATATGTCAACATGTCAACAGTACCAAATATATGTCAACAGTACCAAATATATATATGTCAACAGTACCAAATATATATGTGTCAATGTGTGAACAGTACCAAATATATGTCAACAGTCATGTGTGAACAGTACCAAATATATGAACAGTACCAAATATATGTCAACAGTACCAGATATGTGTGAACAGTACCAAATATATGTCAACAGTACCAGATATGTGTGAACAGTACCAAATATATGTCAACAGTACCAAATATATGTCAACAGTACCAAATATATGTCAACATGTCAACAGTACCAAATATATGTCAACAGTACCAAATATATGTCAACAGTACCAAATATATGTCAACATGTCAACAGTACCAAATATATGTCATCAGTACCAAATATATGTCAACAGCACCAAATATATGTCAACAGTACCAAATATTTCAACATGTCAACAGTACCAAATATATGTCAACAGTACCAAATATATGTCAACATGTCAACAGTACCAAATATATGTCAACAGTACCAAATATATGTCAACATGTCAACAGTACCAAATATATGTCAACAGTACCAAATATATGTCAACATATGTTTTTATTTTTGTTGTATATGAAATATGTTAATGGTATAATATAGTGTACATTCAGTTTATTCGGGAGACCACGACTTGTGTTTACTTTGTACATTACATCCAGTAGATCTAACATAAAGCTTCTTCTACACAAATACATAATAACTTACTAAACACATGCTATGTTTCCTGATGATCCACACTGCGTAGGTTCCGACAGCAACCATGAACAGACAGGTGATCGATGTTTCACTTACATCAAACGTAAATTATATTCAGAGATCTAAAAGAATGTTGACTCATTGATGAAAATTAGACTAAAATATAGTTCTTGGCGCTTTATGATTTATATATAGAAATTTAGAAGTGGCGATTTATGGATCATATATTGTTAAAAATCACACATATTTCCAGACGGAATGAGGAAATGACGATTTAAAAACTATTTGTGTATCAAAGAATGTTCAACGGAATGAGGAAATGACGATTAAAAAACATATGTTCATGTGTATCATATTCAACATAAAATAATGATAATAATAAACAAAACAAAAACAAAAAAGCCACAAAAAACTCTATATCATAATTTAAAGCAAGACGCACAAAAATAAGGGGTTTGGTGTCAGAAAGCATGGGAATTAATTCATATATAAGTTTTGTATAACTGGACCGAAAAATCGACGAATTTCTGTGATTTCCCTATATATGGTATAAGTTAATTGATAAGTTCTGGTATAACACTGTTAGGACTTTGATAAATACGACAATATATTTATGACAATGCATTTGTTAAAAAAAAATGATATCAGTTTGATTACAGTCTTTTTATGTAACCGTTCTGTATTATATCGTGTATTTCAACTCATATTACCGTCGTTCTTAGTATGATGTTGTTTTCTGTCCAATGTATGACGTCATAAAAAACCGTGAACCGTACATGGACATGTTAATATTTGTGACAGATTTTTGTTCGATAAAAACACAAGGAACTTAAATTCTTGTAACTTTATTACAGATTGTTTCTGATAGCCTCACGAAAGCATGCAAGTGTCATGGTGTATCGGGATCGTGTTCTATCAAGACCTGTTGGAAAGCCCTTCCCGATTTCTCAGCCATTGGAACCATATTAAAACAACGTTATACAAGTGCTGTGGAAGTTAAACGGAAAAGACGGAAAGGCGTCAAAGTGTTTCTTCCGTTGAATCCGAAAATTTCATCGATAACCAGGGACTCTCTGATCTATTATACAAAGTCTCCCGATTATTGCAGCCCTGATCCAAAGACAGGATCTGTCGGCACAGCAGGAAGGTATGTGGCCCAGATAAATAATTCCGTGTTTATATTCTTTACTCAGTGTGTACCTCTCTATCTGTCGGTACAGCAGAAGATATGTATCCCGGACAAATAATTCCGTGTTTATATTCTTTACTTAGTGTGTACCTCTCTCTCTGAATGTTGGCATTACTTACGATCAATTTTTATTTCCCTTTTCTTCTTTTAGATTTGAACATTTAGACCCTAATCATCTGAGACGAGTCCATAAAAGTCTTGTGAACAATTATCGACCTGTTAAACATGCAAAATGCTGAAAAAATCAAATATGATAACTAAGGTCTTTTGTCGTATGCGAGTCGCAATGTTATCCCAAAATTTCAGAGTAATATATTGTTACCCATACATACTACACAGTAAAGAAATACAGCTATTTTCACCAAAACTTCTTCATATGAATAATATACAGCTTATCATGTTCTTTTGTTCCGTTTTCAGGGTATGTGAAAAGAACGGAAACGGGTGGGGAGGATGTGATACCATGTGCTGTGGGAGAGGATTTAAAAGTTTTTCTATAGAAATCACTGAACGTTGTGAATGTAAATATTACTGGTGTTGTTACGTCAAGTGTAAGACATGTAGAAAGACGCTACATCTAAACACGTGCCGATAGGACGGTACCATGTCACGTGATGTACATGTAGAAGGATGTTGCAATTAGTCACGTGCCGATAGGACGGTCGCATGTCACGTGATGCACATGTAGAAGGATGTTACAATTAATCACGTGCCGATAGGACGGTCGCATGTCACGTAATGTACATGTAGAAGGATGTTGCAATTAATCACGTGCCGATAGGACGGTCACATGTCAAGTTATGTACATGTAGAAGGATGTTGCAATTAATCACGTGCCGATAGGACGGTCACGTGTCATGTGATGTACGTGTAGAAGATATTGAAATTAATCAGACGCCCATAGCAAGGCCACATGACAAGTGTATAACGTGCATTAAGACGGTGCATTTAAGCACGTGATAATAGGAGGACAGTGACATGTATGTGGAGTGCGTGACTTGCAGAAGGACGGTGTACTTATAAACACACCGTTAAAAGACTGTCACATGTAAATGTGAGTTTATCAATGACAGAGACACTCGAGAAGGTATCATTGGACATCTGACGATATCCACAATGCTACTGAATCGATTTGTAACGAATTACTGATAAAATGTTGTTATCGTTAGGTCGTATAGAGTTCAGTACAAACGGCGGTCTGATAATGACGATTGTAATTCACAAAAAAATCTCCAAATAATTTATCTAACGCACTATTTATTGTATCCTTTCCTTCAACTCTCTTTAAATAGATGAACAAAATAACATAAAGAAGCTACAATAATGAAGTGTTTGATATGTGGTTATGATGTATCGTCTGTAAGTTGATTTTGAAGTTTTAAGTCTAAACCAAACTGTTATATATCGATGTCATCAACTCTGGTGAATCCAAACGGAGACATTCGTACTGACCTGGTGAAAATTCAAACGACGTTGATGATTTAATTCTGCTTAAATTTCGGACTTCCAACTGTGTTTTGTTACAGATAGTAATGTTTGGATCTTGATACAACCTCTTACACTAGAGCGGTAGTATACCTACATAGGACGTAAAACAGAAATGTTGTCGAATGATGGTAAATATACGTGATGATAGCAATCAATAATGACGTCACGGCGTTCCCATGGTATCATCGCATTGTTAAGAGGTGGAGAAGGATTCGTGTATATCTCTTGAGGATACAGGATGGTTTGTAGACGGATGTGGGAAGAAACAGACATTTTACTCCCATTTGAAAAAAAAAGTTGAATCTGTTTAACCTGTTGTGTAATATATTGATAACCAATAACGTAATTTATAACTATTTGTATTATGCTGCAGATAATGTTGTTATATTTTTGTATATAGTGTCTTCAGTACATATGTATAACTGTAAATTATGTCACCCTATGTATATATGTGTACCTAAGGAAATAAATTAATTAAATACTTGGAAACACTTTGTACCTCAATCATTGTACAGCCGAACATTCTGTATATATGTCACAGACCTGGTAAATGGTTTACATGGAACCACTTTGTACCTCAATCATTGTATATATGTCACAGACCTGGTAAATGGTTTACATGGAACATTCTGTATATATATATGTCACAGACCTGGTAAATGGTTTACATGGAACCACTTTGTACCTCAATCATTGTACAGCTGGACATTCTGTATATATGTCACAGACCTGGTAAATGGTTTACATGGAACCACTTTGTACCTCAATCATTGTACAGCTGGACATTCTGTATATATGTCACAGACCTGGTAAATGGTTTACATGGAACCACTTTGTACCTCAATCATTGTACAGCTGGACATTCTGTATATATGTCACAGACCTGGTAAATGGTTTACATGGAACCACTTTGTACCTCAATCATTGTACAGCTGGACATTCTGTATATATGTCACAGACCTGGTAAATGGTTTACATGGAACCACTTTGTACCTCAATCATTGTACAGCTGGACATTCTGTATATATGTCACAGACCTGGTAAATGGTTTACATGGAACCACTTTGTACCTCAATCATTGTACAGCTGGACATTCTGTATACAGGTTCTATATATGTCACAGACCTGGTAAATAGTCTACTGAAAACTAACAGTTATCTCATGCACATTCTAGATATGCATTTTACTGACAAAGAACGAAATGAGAGAAGCAAGCTTTCATATGAGAACCACCAATTGAACAATAACTACCCTCTAAACAAAAACTATCCACTGTGCAAATTGAAGATCCGATTACAGTGCGAATATTATATTATAGACACATACTGTATATAAATTTAAATACACTGTATATAACATTTTCTACAGATATATCTACATACACTTTATAAATACACTGTATATAACATTTTCTACAGATATATCTACATACATACACATTATAAATATATCGTATATAACATTTTCTACAGATATATCTACATACACTTTATAAATACACTGTATATAACATTTTCTACCGATATATCTACAAACACTTCATAAATACATTGTATATAACATTTTCTATAGATAAATCTACATACACTTTATAAATACATTGTATGTAACATTTTCTACAGATATATCTACATACACTTTATAAATACGTTGTATATAACATTTTCTATAGATATATCTACATACACTTTATAAATACATTGTATATAATATTTTCTACAGATATATCTACATACACTTTATAAATACATTGTATATAATATTTTCTACAGATATATCTACATACACTTTATAAATACGTTGTATATAACATTTTCTACCGATATATCTACATACACTTTATAAATACATTGTATGTAACATTTTCTACAGATATATCTACATACACTTTATAAATACACTGTATATAACATTTTCTACAGATATATCTACATACACTTTATAAATACATTGTATATAACATTTTCTATAGTTATACCTATACACATACACCTTATAAATGAAAATCTTAGCTATGTATGTAAGGATAATTCTTTGTTGAAGATAATTTGGTAGACAGGCCTTGCATTCATCACATTATAAAAATCTCCAATTACATCATTAAGTTCTGTGTGCAGATTTTATTCACTTCCATCCTTTTATTCGATCAATGCTGTATTCACTTCCTTTGTGTGGCGATAATTTCAAGTGGACCGAGCTAAAACTTCTCCCGGAAGCAATGGTATTCCTGGCATTCACCACAGTATTCCAACTCCATTGTGTCCAGAAAGCTAGCTGTAACTGACGTTTAAACTATTGCTCCTTTTGTGTGTTTTGTTTATTTCACACATTCTATTGACATCAATTTCAATAAAGTCATACAGAAGACTGAAAAAATACCAACATGTGAACAAAATCATAATTCAAACTAAAAAAAAGGAAGAACTCAATAATACTGGGTAACATATAAACAATAAAAATATGTACACGGAGACTTCTGAAAAACACAAGGAGTTCCAGGTGTTCCAGAAGAGTTAGCCGTCTCTGCTTCATCGACGACGTCTCCGTGTAAATCTTTGTCAATCCAAGTAAGTAATGTCACAGTATCAAAAGAGAACAAGGTATACAACAACGGAACCAACAGATAAACTAACGAGCATCAAACACGTCAAGCTTCATATCGTACAAAGAAACAGAATCTTTCTCAATAAGATCACTATGATGGCCGTAAAACCTCCTCATAATTTTCATCACTCTTCATCTTTTGAAACACTTATGACTCTATGTGTAAAATAACATTTTGCACGAAAATCGCGATATTGGTACATTTTTGTAACTGCCTTTGAGTAACTAATCAACTGCGATATCATACAGACAATTTTCATATAGTGGTGTCTTCAGTCTCGTAGTTAATCAGAACATTAAACAGACGTGATATAGGGGAGGCAACTCAACTTTAATATCTGATTTATTCCTGTTAAATAATCCAATTCCGTTATTGTTATAATGAGATGTGTGTCTGTTTCCTCTCACACCTGTGTGTCTTTTTAACTCCTGTGTGTCTTTTTAACTGCTGTGTGTCTTTATAACACATGTGTGTCTTTTAATGCCTGTGTGTCTTTTTAACACCCGTGTGTCTTTTTAACAATATACAAGGATTGGAGTTACGAAGTCCAGTATAACAAATATGGTAGCAATGAAAAAGCAATATACACAAAATAAACATAATGGTTAACTTGCCAACGTCATCAAAAATATTATATTAAATGTAAGAAGAACAACTATGAACAACCATGAAGAAATGATGGAGGTGGTAATATACATTAATTGTTACAGAACATTAATGTAACCTGCCTTATTACGATAGCCCAGCTGGGCAAATAGAAACTGGTAATATAAGCAGTATCCAAAATTTTAAGTTAAAAGATCGAGAAATGAAAACAAATAAGAAAACGTACTCCTTGATCCTGAAACTCACTTCACGATTTACATGATAATTATGTCATTGTGTCTGTAGATAAGACTTACTTGTCTGCCGACAGTTACATTACCTGCCAAGAAAACAAACAACGCTTGCTCGACATTAAAGGGAAGCAGACCTACAAATAACACAATATTCCAAAGAAGAAATGCTAGCTAGTCATAACTCAATTTAATTACCAATTATTATAATGATAAATATAAGGACCTGCGTCGTTTACAATGGATTCGTACATTTCACAACAATCCATATATATATTGCATTATTGGTTGCTCGTCTTGTATAAACAAACCTTTATCAAAGTTTCTAAATACCATTCCTATTACTATACAAACAGGGTTACAATATTACATATAGGATGGTTATATTTACCCTTGGGAACTGGAATGAATGGTACATGTTGTTAATTTTTATAGAAATCCAAAGAGCCTTGGACTAATTTTGAATGCCCTCTTCTCACAATATTTCTTCTGTAATAAATTTGGGGTACCACTTCACTTTCCTTCTTTCTTTTGTTATGAATACTTTGCAAGAAGCACGTACTACGGTACAAATATACGGTTGTGAACTAGGCGTATTTAGTGAAAATTCCGTCTAAAGAAGATTGAGGACGAAATAGTAAACAGTTAAATCACAAAACAGAATCCTTTACATTAAATGCTTATCGCGACGTTTTCCAACAACGAAACCTACAGGGATAGCGTTTCACAAAGCTGTATGAAAAATTTCTCTATTATGATAATTCCATTTCTAAACAGTAACATTCCGCTTTCCCCTAACTATGGTGTGTTTACATGTCGCAATTCATTTTTCCCAATATCACACTTTTCATTTAAGACGTCGACAACTGGAGATAATGTTTGATAACAATATTACCAGTTCACTATATTAAAATTGATACTCCTTATAAAATTACAACATAATCTTCACTCAGTCTCAAATACTATTAAACAAGTACCAAAAACATAACCACTAAAGGACCATTTAACAGCCACATACATGAGAAATGATTGTATTGCTAACATGTGTGTGACATTTAATCTACCTTGTTCTGGCATGATAAAGATTCATGTCACTCTTATCACAGGACATCAGTGTATGATCATGTGAAGTCATCAATATATGACGTCAGGCATTTGTAGGTAAACACAAGATGATTGGAGGATTTTGCTTATTTTCTAACGGAAATGATTCATATTATTGTGGGGATATTGATTTCATGATTCTGTAAGACATCTTCTAAATACTTGTGCCACATCAAAAACTTCATCTCATTTAATGAATTCCATGTGACAAGAGC